AAGTGAATCAAGAGATAAATTGACAGTGATAGAAGTGAAATAAATAGAACAGTGAATAGTAACAGTAGTGTAAATAAATAGAATAATTACCGAAGTTTAGTAATAATTTAATAGTGTTTTTAAGTTTAATAGTAATTAGTGTAAATAAATAGTTTTCTTCTTAAAATTTAATTTGTTAAACCCACGAACATTACAATATGAATGCGATAAAGCCTTCCTGTCGCGAATCTAGAAGTTCATGTCATTCTAAGATATCTCTCCCAGTAGCAGAGAGCGAAAAATAAAAATAAAACAAAATGAAATAGAAAAATAAGTAACGGTGCATTTTTCCGGCCGTGAATAACATTATTATGAACATGAATGTTGTAATAAGGAAAGCGCTTATGTAGGAATTCATTATTGCAAATGCTAATATTCTTCAGGCCATTAAAAGTTTTCGTTTCTTCGCATCAAACACAGAGGAGCGGAAAGCGTTCGTTATAACGAGCAAATCTCCCCTCGAAATCGGCGTTATAATTAAAGAATCGTTCGTGCCGAATGAAAATCAAAAAATCTTGTAAACAAGCTTCTTTTCGACGACATTCATTCAACTCACTCGCGCCTGAGTTTATACGAGTACACGTTTATTTACACGACTTAGTTCGGATTTTTTCCAGCCCTTTTGGCCCATTCGACGCAACTGGACCGTATATTTTTGCAAAATTCCGAAACTAAATCGCGTCTCCGAAATTAACTACTTACATTCCCTGTCTCAATTTTGTCAGTGAAAATAATAAACTCTCCATAAACTCTTTTAACCAACATTCACCCCTATGCAAATTTTAATTTTCTGCCATGTCGCCATTTCAAATACAAACCCAGCAACTTCAATTTAACCCTTTAAGGATTGATTTTTAAAAATTGGCAAAATTCGATTCGTCAATGAGTATTTGGTTCACTAGGAATATTTACAATTTTTCACTGGTTTACTTTTAGAGCGGTACTGACAGATCAGTACTGTATGAAAATAAATATAAGTAAAACTAAAATGCTGGTATGCAAGGGAAGAAAAAGTAGGAAAAGGGCGAATATAAAGATAGGAGACGAAAAATTAGAAGAAGTGGCTGATTTTAGATACCTAGGAAGTCAGATAAGTCAGGACGGAGGGAGTAGTAGGGATATAAAGTAGAGGATAGCGCAGGGTCGTGTCGCCTTTAATAAAAAGAAGTCACTTCTATGCTCGCGAACGGTTNAAGCTCTTCTTTAGCCTCATTTTAGGAAAGATTATTGGAAAGTGACAAATGAAACAGACAAAGTGAAGACAGAAGCAGATTAAAGATTATGGTAATTATCCAGAATTGGGGCTCCAAACCAAAATCGCTCCAAAAATTTTTTCATCGATTTCCAGTCATTCTACACAATAGAATAATTAGAAGGAGGGAGAGACAGTTTTTTATGACTTTATCAGATCACAGTTGTAAACTGTAAGGAAGAGATGGGTGAGGAGATCAGGGGGCGGAAGATGGGGCAGGTGTTAAAAATTATACAAGCTCAAATATAATCATTGAACCCTCAGAAATGACCAGAAATCGTCCTTGTTAAATCAGGAAATGCATCATGAGTAATACAGAAAAAATGAAAAGAGATAACCGAATAATAGTAAGCGGTGCAGCAGTTCGGGGTTGCTTAGATACGCATAAGGTCAAGGTCGGCTTTTTAACTTCCTGTTTGGAATTATATCCTTAATCAAGTGTCTTTACTTTCCTAAATTTCTGAGAATATTGAACTTTCTGATGCTTTACGATGCTGACAACGTGTTAAAATTCTGCATGTCTGCATCTTTTTTTGTTACACATTACTTGGTGTAATTTTATTCCTTTTTCATTATTAGTGTCCGCTGCAATTCTTACCTGACATCTCTTTTCTATGTTTGCGATACTCGCTACAGCGTCTGTCGTGGGTAAAAGTAGGCGTTCTGTCAGCAACCGCGCTAGTCTAGTTAGTAAGTTGAAAGAAGAAAGTAAATGCGATAGTTTTATTCCAGACTAGTTACTTAAATAAGTGCTAATATATTTGGGTGATGTTATTTAGTTAAATTTCCGTTTATTTTAACTATATACCTGCTATATTTTATACGTATTATTTTCTTTAAAAGTTGTCCGTAAATATGTAGGGCAGCTGTCATATTTTAGGTCTACGTTTTGATGTCTTTTTCCTGCCTCTTTTCCCTTTTACGAAACGCTTTTGAAATTTTCATCTCCTTGATGTGGTCTGTTTTATTCCAGGTGGAGGACCGACGGCAAGGGATCAGAAGAGCTGCTGGAATCGCCGAACAAAAGTAAGTAGTGACCACTTTTAAGCATTCCACTTTTGATTCGGCTCTTATTCTTGACCGCACGACCGCCCAAATAAACGACATACAAAAAGGGACATTTTCAAAACTTTCAGTCCTATTAAACGGCCTAAATAAATCTCAGCAGTTAGTGTCTAACAGGTTTTTATTTTTCATCGAAACAGATAAATAATAATTCAAATCAAGTATATATATAACTGTAAACAATTATTACAATGGGGTAACGATAATGTAATTTCGTTTTGGAATTATAGCGATTTTCTCTTATGATAAATGTGCATTCTGATCAAGAGCCAAAAGAACATTTTGGTATAATCATAAATAGGAAAGCCTGAGGATTAAAAATAAATATGTTAGGGAAATGGTTTAAATGAAACCTAGCGATTTTACTACTAATCTACTAGTTTTTTTTTTTTTCGAAATAAGTAACTGGAATAAAATCAATAGTAATTAATGTAGCATTACAATCTTAAAAAAAAGAAATTATTAACAGCATCTTCGAAAATTTGAAATAAACCATAAAATTATAAAATATAACCATATGTAGAAAATATTATGGGCTTGGGTTTTTTACCACACCAATGAGTTTAAAAATATTAGATAATAGTAATTAGTCATCAGCCGATAGAGAATTTTCCCGACATAAATTTGTTTGTTACCAGACGGGAGTTGTTCCTTGTAGGGAGAGGGGGTAAGTTAAAATTTTTAAACTTTGAAAAACTGTGCGTTACAACAGGGGAAGGTCCAAAGTTAGCAAAAACCATCTAGAAGGCAATGTATGCTTTTTAGTAAGACAAGTTTCAAATAAAATTTCTAGAGAAATTAAAAACCTTTAATTTGAGCCGCGGAACGATTAATTTTGTCAATTACTTATTGCGGAAATCCCAAAAAATCGTTTGTATATTGATTGTTTATTGCAAAAATGTTCTTAAACTTGGAATCGAACTAGTTTTTGTGACCATAAACTGATCAATTTGTTAGTGAGATATTGTTGTATGTCCCAGACATAAATAATTATTGTCATAACTTTTAAATGTAAAAAGTAAACTAGTGTATGCATCAGTTGCATGTAATTCCTTAACCCAAAGTCAATATGAAGAGTTAGAGGGAGTTCAACATTAATTTGTTCGTTATTTGGTATTATAATAAAGAAGGAGAGTCATGAAAATAATAATCTTATATCAAAAAGACTCATTGTTTACACATTAGAGTCAACAAGAAAATATTAGGACTTACTAGTATTTCATCTATATAGAGTGTTAAATAATAAATTAGCTAGCCTTTTATCGATTTCCAAAGTTAGTTTGCTTTGCCCAGCACGGAAACTTAAAGAACTGTCCACTAATTTTGACTAATTTTAAATGTTGCAATGTTAAAGAAAATTGCATTATTTATAGGTGGTGTCAAATAACAAATTATAATAACAAATGGTCAGACATGTTTTCTTCGATGGTACCACAGGCAATGATGATGTGTAAAAACTACTTAGTTAAGAAAATACGGCAAATAAAACTCATTCGCACTCCACAATCCATAAACTGATACAGTGTAGATTAATTTATAACTAAATCGTATTGAAATAAATATAAAATATAAAAATAGACAATGTACGTAAGTCAGTGGCGAATTCTAGGATAGGAGAACGAAAAAAAAACGGTAAACAATTAATACTTTAATTACGAGATATTGGGGATTACCCGTGACATGTAGTTCTTTTCTGGAATTTCAAGGGCTCCCCTTGAGATAAATACGCATTTTACATTATCAACTGGCAAAAAACGATTATTAAATACCAGGAGTGCTTTGAATTCGTAACCATTTGTTGGTAGCGGGCTCAATTTTGAAGTAAAATTTCTTATAAAGGGCCTAAACCTCGGCCAGTTGAAGAGTAAGTGCTAGAAATTATTAAATAGCTTCTGATGGATGGATACTAAATGTTGCTACATCAATGATATAGGTCTGCAGATAATTCTGAGACTTGATGGGTGAGTGTTAGGAAAATACGAGGTTTGGCTCATGTTAGGATAAAGTGGAGACGCATGTCCAACCAGTCTTGTCTTCGGACTGAAGATCCTGTGGTGATGACATCTGTCTTTCTGGTTTTTGGTATTTGTTTTGTGAATTGTACGAATGCTCTTTGTCCACAATGTAAAGTTTAGTATGCTGTGTTCTATAAAGCATCGGTTCATAAAATTCTTACGATATTGTTGAGTCGCAGATGTTTTACTGACTGCTTACGGTACGGGCAAGTTGTTGTGGACAAGTACAACCCAAAGTAGTAACTTGATGATGATACTTGACAAATTTAATCGGCCAATATAAACTGGCAATAACGACGAGCACACTGATGTTGTCAAGTCGTTGGATCATCAGCCCATTCGGCGGAATTTTATAGCAACTTAGCAAGTTGCGAAGGCATTTACGATCGCAATAATTCGAATAATAGAGGATTCTCGACACTTCCGTCAATTTCAGCCCTTTTTTGTATTTTTTGTTGCTGTTTTATAACGCGATTAAAAGGAAAAGATTGACTTTAGTTTTCGTTGAATCAATCAAATGACACAACGCACTGCCCCTTTGTAATACAGGATTAAACGTTTTTCTATTATATGATGGTCCTATGTAATGATGGGTAAAAATTGCCTTGATCTTACATTTTTTGGTAATTGTCCAGAACTGGGGCTCGATACCAAAATCGCTCCAAAAATTTTTTCATTGATTTTCGGTCATTCTACATAACAGA